CTATACTGTCACACAGACAGGGACTGTACAGTCACACAGACAGGGACTATACAGTCACATAGACAGGAACTATACAGACAAACAGGGACTATACACTCATACAGACAGGGACTATACATTCACACAGATATGGACTATACAGTTACAAAGACAAGGATTATACAGACAAACAGGGACTATACAGACAAACACGGACTATATAGTCACACAGACAGGGACTGTACAGTCACACAGACAGGGACTATACAGTCACATAGACAGGGACTATACGCTTACACAGACAGGGACTATACAGTCACATAGACAAGGACTATACAGTCACACAGACAGGGACTATACAATTACACAGACAGGGACTATACAGTTACACAGACAGGGACTATACAGTTACACACAGAAAGGGACTATACAGTTACACAGACAGGGACTATACACTCACACAGACAGGGACTATACAGTCACACATACAGGGACCATACAGTCACACAGACAGGGACTATACAGACAAACAGGGACTATACACTCACACAGACAGGGACTATACAGTCACACAGACAGAGACTATAAAGTCACACAGACAGGGACTCTACAGAGACATAGACAAGGACTATACAGACACACAGATATGGACTATACAGTCACAAAGACAGGGACTATACAGACAGACAGGGACTATCCAGTCACACTGACAGAGACTATACAGTCACACAGACCTGGACTATACAGTCACAGAGACAGTGACTATATAGTCACACAGAGAGGGACTATAAAGTCACACAGATAGGGACTATACAGACATAGACAGGGACTATATAGACACATAGAAAGGGACTCTACAGACACATTGATAGGGACTATACAGACACACAGACAGGGTCTCTACAGTCACACAGACAAGGACTATACAGACACAGACAGGGACTATACGGTCACACAGACAGGGACTATACAGTCACACAAACAGGGACCATACAGTCACACAGACAGGGACTATACAGACAAACAGGGACTATACACTCACACAGACAGGGACTATACAGTCACACAGACAGGGGCTATAAAGTCACACAGACAGGGACTCTACACAGACATAGACAAGGACTATACAGACACACAGACAGGGACTATGCAGACAGACAGGGACTATACAGTTACACAGACAGGGACTATACACACACAGACAGGGACTATACAGTCACACAGACAGGGACTATACAGACACACAGAGAGGGACTATACAGACAGACAAGGACTATTCAGTTACACAGAGAGGGACTATACAGTTACACAGACGGGACATACAGTTACACAGACAGGGACTATACACACACAGACAGGGACTATACAGTCACTCAGACGGGACCATACAGTTACACAGACAGGGACTATACACACACAGACAGGGACTATACAGTCACACAGACAGGGACAATACAGACACACAGAGAGGGACTATACAGACAGACAAGGACTATTCAGTTACACAGAGAGGGACTATACAGTTACACAGACGGGACATACAGTTACACAGACAGGGACTATACACACACAGACAGGGACTATACAGTCACTCAGACAGGGACTATACAGACACACAGACAGGGACTATACAGACAGACAAGGACTATTCAGTTACACAGAGAGGGACTATGCAGTCACACAGACAGGGACCATACAGTCACACAGACAGGGACCATACAGTCACACAGACAGGGACTATACACACACAGACAGGTACTATGCACACACAGACAGGTACTATACAGTCACACAGACAGGGACTATACAGACACAGACAGGGACTTTAAAGTCACACAGAGAGGGATTATAGAGTCACACAACAGAGACTATACAGACAAACAGGGACTATACAGACACACAGACAGGGACTATACAGTCACACGGGGACTTTACTATCTAGGTAATCTAACCTGACATTATGTTAGTGTATATCCTTATTTTATAGAGAAAACGTTAATATATATGTAAACACATACAAAAGGGTAAATCTTTACAATATCTACCATATATAGTAATGGATACATTTGAATGGCAGCCAATAACATGTTACATTCAGACTTAAGATACCAACAGCACGAGGATAGGAGATTGATTGTAAAGTTATCGTAATGATACATTGATTCCTCACTAGCACAGCCCGGGTCTCAGTTGTAAGAGAATTAAACAGATATAGCAAAATGCTCTTGTAAAAGGTGTTCTTAAACCTGCTATTCGGTATATGCGACTTTTAAAAGGTGCGACAAAATACAAAGTATCTGTGTTTTCGAAGCCACGGAGCGAAAAGAAATGATAGTCTTTAGATGATATCATACTCACTTTTTCACTTAAATGTTTCGGTTTTAACAAAAACATTATTTCTATATCTAGAACTGTTTTATTATCATTACCAATTTTTACTTGAACTTTTTACAGTAAGATACATCTGTATCTATCTATTATATCTACTTGTGTCAGCATATTTATGTTCTAAATAAAACATGTTGATCATCTGTGGTGCAGTTTGTATTTTGTAAACTTGTGAACATATATTTAACAGTAATAATGAAGGGTGTCTGATTGTGTGACTTTGATGATGATGCTGTTGGGGTGGGTGGTTGTGAAAGGTGAGGTGGTGTGTGTGGCTGTGATGATGATGGTGTTGGGGTGGGTGGGTGTGAAAGGTGAGGTGGTGTGTGTGGCTGTGATGATGATGGTGTTGGGGTGGGTTGGTGTGAAGGGTGAGGTGGTGTGTGTGACTGTGATGATGATGGTGTTGGGGTGGGTGGGTGTGAAGGGTGAGGTGGTGTGTGTGACTGTGATGATGATGGTGTTGGGGTGGGTTGGTGTGAAGGGTGAGGTGGTGTGTGTGACTGTGATGATGATGGTGTTGGGGTGGGTTGGTGTGAAGGGTGTGACTGTGTGTGGCTGTGATGATGATGGTGTTGGGGTGGGTTGGTGTGAAGGGTGTGGTGGTGGTGTGTGTGTAGCTATATATGTGTCAGTGAGTAGCTATATATATGTGTTTGTGTGTAGATATATATGTGTCAGTGTGTAGCTTTATATGTGTGTCTGTGTGTAGATATATACGTGTTTGTGTGTAGATATATATGTGTTTGTGTGTAGCTATATATGTATGTGTTTGTGTGTAGCTATATATGTATGTGTTTGTGTGTAGCTATACGTGTGTCTGTTTGTAGCTATATATGTGTTTGTGTGTAGCTATATATGTGTCAGTATGTAGCTATATATGTGTCTGTGTGTAGCTATATATGAATCTGTGTGTAGCTATATATGTGTGTGTAGCTATATATGTATGTGTTTGTATGTAGCTGTATATGTATCTGTGTGTAGCTATATATATGTGTGTGGGTGTAGCGATATATGTGTTTATGTTAAAATAACTAATGAACAGATATGTATGTTTTGGTGATTCTAGAAAAAAATGTCGTCGTGTTTCCCATATTAACTGACAAATATACAAATATAACTATAGATGTACATATACAACTCATGTGTATCATTGTATAATCGACATTTTATAAATAGCATGTATGTAATCTTCTGTGTTGTTGTTTACTGTCACTGTTAGGTGTTTGGATGAACGTATTTCAATAAAAATAAACATAAACACTTGAGCACCATGTGAATATTTTCAATGTTCTCTCATGCCCACTATGCTATAAGTGTAGGAAACTTTTCCTTAACATAATTACGTCTCGGATTGGTAGTTTAAAATCCTTTTCGTGCTATACCAGGTAGTAGATTAGGGAGGCCACTTCTATACACCTGTACGCCTATCCGGAAATGACTAACACCTCTAGAATGTTGTTATTGTGTTACCTGTATCGGGATAGAAAGGGAGGAAAGGAGAGAGATCAGAAAAGGGGGAAGAGGATGAGAAATCAGGACAGGAGAAGGCGGAGGGAGGGAAAAGAGGTCAGGAAAGGAGGAGGGAGAGAGAGGTCGGGAAAGGAGGAGGAGGAGGAGAAGGAGGAGTAGGAGAAGTAGGGAAAGAGAGAGGTCGGGAAAGGAGGAGGAGGGAGGGAGAGAAGGAGGCACGAAGGAAAGGAGGAGGAGGAGGAGGAGGAGGAGGAGGAGGAGGAGGAGGAGGGAGGGAGGGAGAGTGGTCAGGAAAGGAGGAGGAGGGAGGGAGGTAGGTCAGGAAAGGAGGAGGAGGAGGAGAGAGGGAGAGAGATCAGGAACTGGGAGGGAGGAAGGGAAGGAGAGAGATCGGGAAATGGTGAAGAGGATGAGAGGTCAGGACAGCAAAAAGCGGAGGGAGGGAAAAGAGGTCAGGAAAGGAGGAGGAGGGAGGGAGGGAGAGAGGTCAGGAAAGGGGGAAGAGGATGAGAGATCAGGACAAGAGAATGCGGAGGGAGGGAAAAGAGGTCAGAAAAAGAGGAGGAGGGAGAGAGAGGTCGGTAAAGGATGAGGAGGGAGGGAGAGAGGTCAGGAAAGGAGGAGGAGGTGAGAGGTCGGGAAAGGAGGGAGGGAGAGAAGGAGGGACGAAGGAAGGGAGAGAGGTCAGGAAAGGAGGAGGAGGGAGAGAGGGAGGGAGAGGGAGGGAGATCAGGAAAGGGGGAAGAGGATGAGAGATCAGGGCAGGAGAATGCGGAGGGAGGGAAAAGAGGTCAGAAAAGGAGGAGGAGGGAGAGAGAGGTCGGTAAAGGATGAGGAGGGAGGGAGAGAGGTCAGGAAATGAGGAGGAGGAGAGAGGTCGGGAAAGGAGGGAGGGAGAGAAGGAGGGACGAAGGAAGGGAGAGAGGACAGGAAAGGAGGAGGAGGAGGGAGAGAGGGAGGGAGATCAGGAAAGGGAGAAGAGGATGAGATATCAGGGCAGGAGAAGGCGGAGGGAGGGGAAAGAGGTCAGGAAAGAAGGAGGAGGGAGGGAGGGAGAGAGGTCAGGAAAGGGGGAAGAGGATGAGAGATCAGGACAGGAGAATGCGTAGGGAGGGAAAAGAGGTCAGAAAAGGAGGAGGAGGGAGAGAGGTCGGGAAAGGATGGAGAGAGAGAAGGAGGGACGAAGGAAGGGAGAGAGGACAGGAAAGGAGGAAGAGGGAGAGAGGAAGGGAGAGGGAGGGAGATCAGGAAAGGGGGAAGAGGATGAGAGATCAGGGCAGGAGAAAGCGGAGGGAGGGGAAAGAGGTCAGGAAAGGAGGAGGAGGAGGAGGAGGAGGAGGAAGGAGAGAGATCAGGAAAGGGGAAGGAGGAGGGAGGGAGAGAGATCAGGAAAGGGGGAACAAAAGAGGGAATTCGAGAAAGGGAGAGGAAAGAGATATCGGGAAATAGGTCACAAGGTTAGAGGTCAGGAAAGGAGGTGGAGGAAGGAAGAGAGGTCAGGCGAGGGAAAAGAGGAATGTCGATAAGTGGAACGAGAGAAATCGGGATAGGTGGAGGAAGGAGAAAGAGAGGAAGCAGTGGTTGGAAAACGATGTAAAGGTGAAAGAAGAAGAGAAGGAAGATGGATCGTTATGTTATGTTTCAATTAAGAAGATGTTTTGATAAAGATTGATAGTAACAATCAAGCTTAACAAAATAGCATGTATCCATACAAATTTGCGTTTAAAAACTTGTGCTCAACAAGAAAAAGAAGAAAACTTTAACGGATTGCATACACATATTTTTGTCATATAAGATGAATTATTTGCCTTTTATCTTTCCTGCGTCTTGATTAACACTGACAGCAATCAGATTGGTTTGTTTTGTCTTGGCATCTTAACAAAAGTATTAAACAGGACTGTTACAGCGTGGATAGTGTGAAGTCACTAGGATCAGTTAAAATGTCCTACACACAGGAACGTGTCCGCATGTAAAGGACAGAATTCCACGACAGAAAACGATTGAAGCAGATTATCCACGATAACAAGTTCCATCATGTATAAACACATGATGGTGAAGCATGTGGTAGATTTTGTTTAAAAGATTGATTTCAAATATATTTTTTATCATACTACAATATTCTGAATACAACTTTAATCTTGAGTAATAAATCTGATGCGCTTTACAATGGTAACTGTGCATTGGTAGTGTTATATCGTTTTATTAATCTCATGAACATAAGTCAAGACCACATGCCTTTTGTCAGCAAAAGACACTTTCTAACACGTGTTTTATAATGATAAATGATTGATGTATAATTATGAACCAAGCACTACTTCAAGGATTTTGTGAAATATCTGTCTGAATGATCACCTGTAAGTATAATTTAATGATAGACACATTAAATGCTTAATGTGTACTGGTCTTTTTATAATAGATGACATGAAGTTAAAAAGAAAAGACAAAAAACAAGAAAATACCAAGATGTCAACATAGTTATAATCCAAACTCAAAGTCAACGATCGTTGAACAAAATATGAACAAAAGAAACATCTACACGGAGACTCCTGAAAAAGTACAATGAGAATCAGACCAGGTGTCCCGGAAGAGTAAGCATCTTTTGCTTCATCGACGATAGCCCCCGTGTAAATCTTGGACAATCCAAGTAAGTAATGTCACGTTCTCACACGTTCCCATGAGTCTCTTGGATATTTTTGTCATCGGTAATCTGTTCCGTCAATAATGATCCGAAACAGTCCTAAAAATTGACATTGATGAAAAAAATAGAATCTTATTCGTTATTAACAAAAGAACATATTTGGCCATTGTAGTCCGGCAGCGCGTCACAAATCACACAAGGCTGAACAATTATCCTTTAAGTGTCCAGTATATGACTCATACATTGACCCCTTATCACTTTCCATATCTGTCAAAACTTATACTCACAAGGATAAAGTGATATCTGTATATGATCAGTTAATTAGTAACGACAGTTCAGTCAAGTAAACTGTGAAATCGAGACACAAAAAATTACAAAAGTTACATCAAATACATGTAAACATGATGTTATAATATGTCTTCATAATTCCTTCATGAAAATCTCCTTAGGGCTTGAAATGCGTGTATGTATACATACATAATTCACGTCTTTTATAAATATGATTTTGATAAACACTTTTTAACGGTTAAGCTTAGGAAAATGCATGTAAATTATTTTCAGAGAAATTTCAAATATTTCATAACGTCGTTTTAAGTTGTCATGAAGCCGTCAACCAAGTGATATCTAATACATGTCACTATAGATGTTTATGACGGTTTATTTCACTAGTTTGTATAGAACACATCATTAATTCAAAGTATTTTGTAAAACCTACATTTACTAGCAATATATCATTATTATTGACAGTTCTTAACGCATGACAAGTCTTCGTACGGCAGGACTTTGCATTCACTAAAGAAATTTACTCTTATTTACTATTTTCCTTTTGTCTCCGTGACGTCAAATGTGACAAATATCCAATCATCCATAATACAAACCATTCCGATACCCAGCCAACCATTCTACAGAGAAGAACCAAATAAAACAACTGCATTAAACAACTGTTTCGTCCTTCTATGACTCGTCTGTGATGTTACATCATACTGCTGTTTCGTCCTTCTAGGACTCGTCTGTGATGTTACATCATACTGCTGTTTCGTCCTTTTAGGACTCGTCTGTGATGCTACATCATATAGCGTTTCCGTCTTTCTAGGACTCGTCAGTGATGCTACATCATACAACTGTTCCGTCCTTCTAGGACTCGTCAGTGATGTTACATCATACAGATGTTTCGTTCTTCTAGGACTCGTCAGAGATGTTACTTTAACAACTGTTTCGTCCTTCGAGGACTCTTCAGTGATGCTTAGGACCCTAAGTTCGAAACCTAGGAAGCTACTGAGGAAAATCCAAAATGGTCATAACAAATGCACAATTCTAGATTTCATATGTGTGATGTTTTTTGAGAACATCAAATGCATATGTACATTCTGAACCGTGCCACTAATGGAATGAATTAAAACATGGCTTGTTGGTTACGGCAAACATGTTCTTAAAAGACATGGGATTGGATATCAGTTGGTACTTTATATCTAATTTTAACAAAACAACACCCCACCCCACCCCCTCCCACCACCACCACCACCAAAATTAACATCTATGGAATGAAGTTTTCCCTACGTTTACCTTTTAATATGTAGATTTGTTCATTTTCATTTTGATATCCCTCTTTACCGCCGCTTTCATGCCTGGACACTCCTAGAACCAACCATCTCTGTGTGTGCTGTTGAGTTGTGCTCGTTGTTCAAGACTTGCTAATTTCTACTGAAAGGTGTTACAAACTGTTATATCTTTTGCTTCATCCCTTGTGAGATTGATATCCATAAATAGATAGTTCCTGCGTTTCTGATATGCTAAAGGAAAGTGTATATGACATTTTACTTAACTTAAATAATACCAAGTTATACAAACAGAACAACAAACCAACCTGACCCCATTTTGTAAATGGTAAGTATTTCAACTTATTATATTAGAAACTTAATCTTTTTCTGGGTCATTAAAACGTGTCCCACTTTCTAAACCCTTTGTTGTTAGATGTAAAGTTTCACTAGTTGCGAGAATGTGGGATGTACCAGGCGTGGTACAACCCGCTGAAAAGTAGTTAGAATGTAGGTACTTATCTAGTGCTGGTTCTGGGTGATTAACCCAGTTAATAAGGCACAGGTAGTTAGACCATTGTGTTCGAGATCGTATCTCGATGTTTTATGAATCTGCACTAAATGTTAAAAACTGTCCGTCTTTTTTAATGTTAGACGTAATAGTATATATGTTTTTTGCGTTGTTTATTTCAACAACAAATCATACTACAAGTATTTAATCAACAAGCATGAAACACCACTAAATAAACATGAAACACACGCCCCAGACATTACTGAGTCAAATGACTTACCTATTGAGTATAATTTCATATCATACGGGTACTGACTTTGAAGTCTTTCAATATATTACGTCTTTGATGCTATTTTTGTTGTACATTAAATTTTTTATATAAATTATAAAATCTCTCCAGTATGTTTCTTCTCCAAGTTTGACTTTAACATTTAGATAAATCTGATATTAACGAAATGTTCCATTTGAATATTACCACAAAGTATATTGAAATGGTGATATATAAGTGGTCCATTATGTACAGGACAAACAATCACCACATCAACAATATCATAAACAACAAAGCGATATATCATGTACAAAAAATAAAGGGATTTTTGGGTGGTTTGTGTCCTTTATTTTTAATTCCAAACAGACAAGCTCCGGTATTCAATGTGCTTGAATGGAGGAAACAAAAAAAAAAATCAGGAAGAAGGGAGAAAACAATAGACAACAGAGACGGGGGAGACAATAGACAACAGAGACGGAGGGCAAATAAAACTGGGGGGGGCAATAGACAACAGAGACGGGGGGGGGCAAATAAAACGGGGGGGGGGGGCAATTAACAACAGAGACGGAGGGGGGGGGGGAGCAAATAAAACGGGGGAGACAATAGACAACAGAGACGGGGGGGGGGGGCAAATAAAACGGGGGGGGGGGGGGGGGCAATAGACAACAGAGACGGGGGGAGGGGGGCAGCTAATAAAACGCGGGGGAGGGAAGGACAATAAACAACAGAGACTGAGGGGAAAGCAAATAAAACAGGGGAGACAATAACAACAGAGACTGAGGGGAAAGCAAATGAAACGAGGGGGGGGGCAATAAACAACAAAGACGGAGGGGACAGAAAATGGAACGGGGGGGGGGGGGCAAAAAACAACAAAGACGGAGGGGACAGAAAATGGAACGGGGGAGACAATAAACAACAGAGACGGAGGGGACAGAAAATGAAACGAGGGGGGCAATAAACAACAAAGACGGAGGGGACAGAAAATGGAACGGGGGAGACAAATACAAAAGGAACGGAGGAGACAAAGGAAATATAGGGTATACGAAAATACGGAACGCAGTGTTTGCACAATTCTGATTTTTAATCATTATAAATGTGTGTATAGTTTGAGAAAAAAATGTGTTATATTCCGCGCGGTGAATGAGGACGTTTTCAATTTGTTGTCGTCTCTAATCGTTCAATACTCCGATGACGTTAGCTGATAATGTATTGAAACATTACCACAGAACAGACGTAGTAATACATAGGTTTTGTGATATATGTATTGATTGTGTTGTCTCTTTATGTGCAAAATGCGTCAGATAATGTTTTTAACAGTAAAAACACAAATCATATATATGAAATGTAACAACCGACTAGAACAAGCAGATATCACCCTGTAAATTAAAACAGACGAATGCAAAGTATATACATATGTTTTTAAGTGAATAAACCTGAAAAAGTCATTTGAAGAGTGAAAGCCACTTGCTCAGGTCGGGCTCTAGTTTTTAATTTTACTATCTTCT